GGGGGGGGGGGGACTTTTTTAAAATGAGATTCACGAAATTTTTTAATGCCCAATAGGAGATGAATTGGATGGCGATGAAACGTGGTGTGATCAGAGGATGATTTTTTTTTAAATGCGAAGAATTTGAAAGAATGCTTCGTTCACCGGGTGAGATTTCTTACCTCCTCCGAAAGCTAAAATATCGGGTATCATATTTAATAATTCTGCGCAGAATGTTATCGCACAGCAAACACTATACTCCGTGCCACCTTCCTAGAAGAATTAACTCGTGGCTCTCGTATTGGCCGTGAGCGTAAACTGGGATGAAAAATTTTTAATAACTATTCCGTCAAGGGATATACCTAATTGCAGTTTCGCGCTGGAGGGTGGCGGAGTTGTCTGCTGCCGTACGTTACTAACTTATTATCGCTAGCTTAAGCCTAACCTTACATTTAATAGTCTTTTTGCATCTTAATATTATGCGGTTAAACGGAAATGTTAAATTTTGGTTCGTCAATGTGATGCAAGATTTTTACATGCAGGTCAACGTAATCGAAATTCAAGGTCGAGACACTTATGGATATATAAAAGAGTGACAAATAATTTTAGCAAGTTTAAGTATTATGCAAACAGTAGTATAGAAATTGAAAGTTAAAGCGTTTCTGTAGACGAACCAAAAATAATTCTCCGGTCCCGCTGGAGAAATGACGTAATAGCACTTTACCACGGATAACATTCGAATTTATAGTTTAATAACTTTTGCGGATAACAATAGCATTTAGCGAGACAAGCACCGAGAGCTCAGTGCAACGCATGCAGCATGCTTCATGGAGGTTATGTTACGTTTGATCATGCTGGTGCAACCGGGGACACGTTACACAGCCAACGCGGCCATATTTTTTTCATTATTTATTTAATTTACGTTAGCATTTTTCCGTTCATATTCGCGGATACTATATCCGCAAAATGTTGAAAATTATGGTTAAAAAAAGAGGCGCGCTTGAGCTCAGGCTCGGTTCCCCACTCCACGAGATAACTCGACAAACCCCGCCCCTTTTGTGAAACAGCCATGAGAATGCGCCGTTACGATTGGCTGGTGTTCAAAGTTAAGGTTATAATGCGTCGGAAGAAGGCGGAACTAGGGTTCATTCAAAGAATCATTGGACGGATACAGACAATAGAGTAGGTGGATCTTAAGAGTGAGAAAGACATAGATTGATGACGTAATGAAAGATAGAGCGATCGAGTACCAATGAAGAAGAAAATAAACAAGGATGAATGCTGGCAGAAAAAAATTAAAAAAAAAAGATGATTGGATGAACGACAGAGAAGGCAGAGAAACATATAAAATGGACGGCCGAGCTGCGAGAGATGCGATAGGTGGTATAAATAAAGTAATAATATGCAAATATCATAATTGCGGCAATTTTTTTTTTCATAGATTTTCACTTCATTTCTATCATATTTTTTTTCTAAGGTTTTTAATCTTCCTCTTATATCGCTTATGCCGCTGATTGGACTTTCGTACGTGTTTGGTTAAGATAGGATGAGCTTATGATGTCTCTCGTATTTCAATGAGTGGCGCTGCATTCGCTTCAAAGGGAATCCCCCGCATTGCACAGAGCGACCCTCCTTTCGTTACAGATTGAGTGGAACGCTCCGTGTCTGTAGTCTTAAAACTTTTTTCTTTTGTCTTTTTTTTCTTTTTATTTAGCTTACCTATCAGATACGTGCGACGTGTTTCGTCGATAATTGATTTTCGATACGATTCTTTTTTCTTTATCTGTATACATAGTCAACATTGTTAGAATATCTCAAAAAAGGATCAACAGGTTTTATTCGTTATCTCTTCTCTCGCATACTTTTTTTTGGGGGAAAAGGTGCTCCATTTACTATTTTCTAAAAAATATGTTATCCCTCTCTCGCTTCTAATGAAATGTCCTTGTTATTTAGACAATGGATAAATTAGAGCGCGATTGTTTGACGACCTACGACACCTTCCTTCGCTGCCGCCGTTTGCCTTCACCTCAAATGTTATAGCGAGGATTACATAATCGATTCGAAAATATATATATTTTAAATATAGATAATCATGATCGTTTCTGAATAATGGTAGTGAGGAAGAGGTGAATTTTGTAAAAAGCAAAATCAAAAGAAAAAAAAAAGAAAAAAATTAGATTCAATTTTTCCGTCGATAAAACAATTTGATCCTTCATCATCCCGTTCGATCCGCTAGGTGGCAGCCCGGTTTTACAAAGCGTTAAAGATTCCTCAAAAGCCCGATCAACGTCGATAAACAACCTGAATCATCAAATATGCAATTCAGAATTTCTTGCACTTCTTAGGAGTAGGACTGGGATGACGATCTGGTCCATCCTGTACAACTGTGATTGATGGAACTTCGTACTGAAAGTGACGATGGCAGTAGAGTCGGTGAGAGTTGACGGCGGCAACATCGGCGAGGGTCGCAGGATAATGTAGATTATTATTATTATTATTATTATTATTATTATTATCATCATCATCGTCATCCGACTGGCCGTCGAACTCCTAGAGGACGTCGTTCTTTTCGATGCGGACGTTGTCGATGAAGAAACTTACTTGGCGTTTAAAGTTGAGATCGTGCTTGTTGAAGGTGTGCGCATGCAGAGCTAGGGCGCCAGCAGCGGCCGCGGGTTCTATTTGTTTGAAGTGTTGCTGTTGCGATAGTATGGTAGCTTGGGGTTGTTGTAACTGATGATGATGATGATGATGATGATAAGTGGTGGCAGTGGTTGTGGTGGTTGTGGTGGCAATGGCGCTAGTACCGATACCGGTAGTGATAACTGACTGATGATGATGATGATGCTGTAATTGATGATGAAGCTGTTGTTGCTGTTGCAGTTGTTGCTGGTAATGCTGCTGCTGCTGCTGCTGCTGGTGCTGATAGTGCTGCTGATGAAGATGATGAAGATGATCGGTGTATCGGTCGGTATACGGATTGGCGACCCCGGTGGTGGTCCCCGCCGAGATACCGGCAAGGCAGGAACCCGGCGGCGGCGCACCTGTCGAACCGTCAATTAACGAAGTGGTTAGTGCGCCCGTACGACCGTACGGCAGTGATAGGGAGAAGCCCGTCGACGTCGTCGTCGTCGCCGTGGTCGTCGTCACGAGCATCGAGACGCTGGTTGGTCCCCTGGCGATGGCCACGGCGGCGGCATTGAAATGCTGATGGCCAAACGCGTCGACGGCAAAGCCACCACCAGATGGTGCTCTCCACATTGTACAAACGGGCCCGCTCTTATCGATACCTGCTGGAACGAGGGCGCCACCTCCGCCGAGGCCGAAGCTTACGACGCCGGTAGCGCCACCACTCGGCACCGCCGTAGCCTTCAGTAGCTGCTCCCGCAATTTTCCTCCGCACTCCCGGATCCTCTGGAGTTCGGCCTCGAGGAGGCCCACCTCCTTCTCCAGATTTTGTATGCGCGCGTCTTTCGTCTCTAGTATGGCGGTCAAGGTGGTGCTACCGGGCACGCCGCCCGGTACCGCCACGCTTCCGCCGAGGACCGTACCGCTGCTGGCACTTCCGGCGCCGACGACACCTCCGACGCCTCCCCCGGCGACCGGCGCCCCGGAGGATGCCGTCGAGGCGTACGCGAGCTCCAGCTGCGTCTGGAGGCTCTTCAGCGTCTCGTTCGTCGCTTTGAGCTCCTTATAACAAGCAATACTAGAGTTACTCGCGGTGCTCGTGTCTTTAATCGTGATTTTAGTGGTGGTTGTGGGTATTTCTTTTTTTTTGGGTCGTGACAATGATTGTGGTGGTCATGATATTTTGACTTTTGGTCGTGATATTTGTGCTGGTCGTGACAGTGTGAGTCATTAATGATTTACGATAATGTGATGATGTCGAATGCTCAAGAAGGTTATGGCCAGTGCCCATGTGAGGTTAAAAGCATCCATGGGTGTCGGTCGTGTCGAAAATTCGAACGCTCACCCAATATGTTTTTAACCTCGACATTGTCGTTGGCGCTGGTGTAGGAAAGCGGAAATGGTTTTGTTTTGCGCTGCGCCCCGGTTGACGAAAGAAAAGCGACGTTCCGCCGAGTCGTCTGTATATCATGATCCCTCTTCCGGTTTACATCTGTGATTCTCCAAACGTTTTTCCTCTCTCTGTCTCTCTCTCTCTCTCCTTCTTTGCCGACGTGCGTTCCATTCGGAATTCCTTCGTGTCAACTGTCTTTGTCGTTCTCTCCCGTAGCATTTCTCGTTTGCTCAGTTTCTAGGTGACGTTGTCGGCGTTTCCGCGGATTATCTTAAGACGATTCGATTTTATCGAACGCGATTCCATTTTTTTTTTGTTACAGAAAATACATCCGGCGTATTTCCTTTATATCTGGCTCCTCCCGACGCTGGGCGTCGCCGCAGTTCTTTCGCCACCGCGACGTGCGGCTGACATATTGTCCATCCACGTACGGCGTGTCCGTCGACATTCTCTCGATATCCATATTTTTTTCACTTTCATCTCATTTTCGTAGAATCGTCGATTTTTGTTGGGGCACTAAAAGAAAATTCATACCGACACAACAAACGGCATCCCACTTGTTTACAACGGTGGCGCCAACGCTAAATGGACAAGATCTCACCAGTGGAATGGACCAAATTTATAATTAATTTAGCCATGGGCGATGGCAAGGTACAATCCAATTATGTATTACGTATTAAGTTGTAGGGTAGTTTTGAAAATTGAGAATTGAATACGACCGATTTGGCGTGTACGAGCATTGCAATTAAGAGAGGAAGCGTGCTGAAGTCGTTATATAAGGTACACAATTTCCACCATAAACTACGAAATTCAAGTGAGTTGAAAAAATATATGATCGATAGTAACGCCAGCATACGCCTCGCTCTCCAAATTCATGACCTGCTCAGTAGGAATGTAGATATCTATCTTACCGATTCTCGTAGGAACATGTATGTATGTAAAAAAAAGGATGATATAAACAGAGGTATGCGACGAAGTCGAAAAATAATGTACATATAAATGACGCTTGAAAGAAGATGAAACGTGAATAATATGCGGTTTGCGTCCCGGGCACTCTTGAAATAATTTTCATAATTTTTCACGAGAGACCGGGACAAGATTTACAACGGTAATCGCAAAATCTTTAGCAGAAAAATTGGCACTGTTGTCTATATCTCTTTTAGGGGTGTGCCAATCACGGGGGGCGTGTCCATAGCACGCACGAGGGGCGTTAGCTATATTTGCCCCGCCCCCTTTCGGTCAATATGCCTAAGGCATGGGGCGGGGTCATCTTTGTACCCGCCCACAAGCGGAAAACTTGTGTATGAATGTCAAAAAGTTTGCAGATAAAATCGCGATCTTTATAAAAGGTATATTGTATATGTGATTATGATTACACATTATGTGTACCGACAGATATGAACATGAATTAAGAAATGATCGGATTAAGAGTAAGAGTAGTAGAGACACGGTGTTATACATTCAATGGAGCGCAGAAGAGCTGAGCAAAAGGTGGTGCAGGGTTCTCATTCCGTATAATATAGTGATTATATAAATATATACAACATATATATAGTATATGCATCGCGTTATATAGTGTATATATACTTTGTATATATGTATATAGTATGCATGTAGCCTGGGATATATCAAGCTTGAAGAGCTCCAAAAAAAGTGCCATATATGTTATCTATATAACGCTTGGGGAGCTCTTGCGGTAAAATCGTACTACTAATTTATATTTAATATTCTAATTCGTTTCGTCACCGAAATTTATGAGCGAGCAAATAATTGCTTCTCTATTAATTTAAAAAAAATAGTTACTACTCACGTTTCGCAAATGCACGATTTTATCATATACGACGATAAACATGTATCACGATTTTTACGCGAAACGTAGAGAGATAACACACTGCATAATACATATACATATATATATCAATTATATATATAGTTTATAAATAGCGCACAGAAAAGAAATAGTACGGAAATATGAATGGTGTGATCAAAGAAGTACAGCGGAATATGAGGGTGACGTTGTTTCTGTAATTAGTATGCAGATGGCGCAAGTGTACACGTGGTATAGATATATGATTCGCGCTCTGCTTTACCGACGGGTAAGGGAGTATCCACCGTTTCAGCTCTCATTTATGATATCCCGGCAGCTTTGAAAAAGTATAATTACGAATTTTTACCGCGATGACGCTTTTATGTAAAGTGTACCTGCACCCAAGCTTTCGCGACAGCCTACTCGTTACTCAAAATCCCTTTTGACGATTGTCGGTAATAGTAGATGCACAGTGATGGCGGTTGACATGGTAGTACTAATAACAATGGTGTGATGGCGCTAGTGACGATCTATGGTTAATTTTTCCTTTAATGTTCGGTGAATGAATTTATGGTGTGTGGGCGAGTGTAGGGGTATATTATATTCCCGTAAAATTACGCTAAATGAGATCTTACCACCTACACATCCAAAGCAGCTCATTCCACGCTTACTCATTTCTTTTTTTAATAACGCTTATACGGACACAGACGTATATATATATATATTCTCTGTTCTCTGAAGACTTTTGTATCTGACTGCATTTATAATTCCTCGTTCTTCTTTCGATTGGGGTTACGCTTTATTCCCCACCCTCCCACCTTAATTATATCACGGTCTATCAGATTTCTTTTTCTTCTCTTTTTTTTTAGGGCGGAACATTTCATTATGGACAAGACTGATATTGACGTGCAGCTTCAATATTATGGATCTACCGGGGCGGATAGCTGTGGGTGACGGAAGTAGTAAATGAGAGAAAGAGGGGAATGAGGGATGACAGAGAGAGAGAGAGAGAGAGAGAGAGAGAGAGAGAGAGAGAGAGAGAGAGAGACAGAGAGACAGAGAGACAGAGAGACAGAGA